CCAGTAATGCACATTGTGTACACTGGTTGTTAGTACACTCTACACTCTGGTAAGTAACGTAGCCCCAGTAATGCACATTGTGTACACTGGTTGTTAGTACACTCTACACTCTGCTCAGTGAGTTGGAGAATCTTTTATTCTGGCTCAGTCAGATATTAGCTTTAACTTCACAACTTTCGAACTCACTTTCTTGTAATGTTCAGTGACCATTTAACTTCCGCTTAGAATCCTGCTCCTCAGTCCTTGTCTATTCAATAGCTTGTGTCTAGTCCACTGAGTATCTTGCATGTTGTTATCAAGTCTTCATCAGCAATTCCATTTTCCAAGATTGTTAGATTGGGATTGATTGTTCTATCTTCGTAGGTCAGCAGTTTCACCTCTGGACTTGTTTAGGTGTCAACCTTGTCTTTCTAATTTATTTACATGTGTGATTTTCTGTAGGCTTGTGTATGGCAGGTCTGTCATATGTGTACTCTTGAAGACGTTCTTGATGAGGTTACTGTGTGTGTGTGTGTGTGTGTGTGTGTGTGTGTGTGTGTGTGTGTGTGTGTGTGTGTGTGTGTGTGTGTGTGTGTGTGTGTGTGTGTGTGTGTGTGAATTTTTATCTGCCTTTAGTGTATCATGAAGTTTTTTTCCCCCAGTGAGTGAGTTGGGTGCGGGAGGATTCATTTGCATATGTGACATGTGGGTGGTTGACAAGCTGGGTTTTTTAATAGTGGTGAAGTGTGTAATTGATGCTGTGTGTATATTGTGTTTGTTGAACGGTCCAGCGCTTGTTTGTCTGTGTGTTTTAGAGTGTGTGTATGTGTGTGTATATGTGGGTAATGCGTTCAGTGGTTTAGTGTTTGCTTGTTTGTGTGTTTCTCTGTCTGGATTTAAAACAATAACAAAAGCTTTTTTGTTTCACTTATTTAAACCACTAGTGAACCCAGAGATATACTCCAACACCTATATAACTAACTGACTAAAAAGCTTGTAACTGGTTGACTGTAATACAGATATGTATAATTATATATCTGGCTAATTGGTAAATAAATAATTATAGATAAAAAAAAACCGTTGAGGGAAATGTGTAGCATAATTATTTTGCCCAGATTTAGGAGCCTAAAATTGAAACACGTGTGTGGTTTTTTCCTGGGTGTTAAGAACGACTGGAAGGAAGGTTTTAAGTGATAGAAAGCTGAGAATCCAGCAGGTTTGTGACAGCGTCTTACCTGGGGGTGAGTGGAGGCGAAGGTTTTTCTTATGATTTGACGTGCTGTTGGAGTGCGAGCAAGGTGACATTCAATAAGCCGGACTTGAGTCCTGGAGGTAAGCTGCTGTTGCAGTTCGGAAGGTCGTTTGTATTTTGACCTCTGCCCACTTTTGGCAAAACAACTATTAAATGGTTAATTAACCATGTGTTTTATTTTTTGGGTCACTCTGCCTTTGAGGAGCAAGATTAATTATAGATTTTGTACTGGTTGCCTATAATGCGGTTAATTATAGATATATAACTGACTGAGTGATATATATTTTTATGTATGTAAACGTATATGATGTATAAACTAACTTGATTGTGTTTATATAAGTTACTGGTAAGTGATGCAAGTGGATTGACCTGCAGTGTGACCCGTGGCTTGACCTGGTACATGATCTGAAGCGCGACCACGAGCGTGGCCGGGAGCGTGACCTGGAGCGTGACCTGGGGTGTGACCTGGAGCGTGACCTGGAGCGTGGCCTGGTACGTGACCTGGAGCGTGACCTGGAGCGTGACCTGGAGCGTGACCTGGAGCGTGACCTGGAGCGTGACCTGGAGCGTGACCAGGAGCATGACCTGGTGCGTGACCTGGAGCGTGACCTGGAGCGTGACCTGGGGTGTGACCTGGGGTGTGACCTGGTGCGTGACCTGGGAATGTGGTGGAGGGTCGCATGTACTAGCATAAAAGCTGACGGAAGGAGGCAGGAAATGGAACAACAGAAACGATATACACTCAATCAGAGTCAACTGTCTACTTCCTCTCTCTCTCTACTGCCACCCCAACCTCCATTTCCTCTCTCCTGTAATATATATAATATATAGATATCATATATATATCATAATAATGATAGTAATCATAAGGTATATAATAGTATGATACTACACGCACTAACACTGACACAAGCACACCCACACACTACACATACCCTACGCTTGTGTGTACGATGAGTAGAGAAGATGTAGTCCACTCGCTAGCGTCCCAGCAGCGTAACGGCGCACGTAGACAAGGTGCGCGATAGATAGCGTCACGCAGCTGAGTATACGACTTGAAGGTGTGGTCAGCAGGACTGTGTGCCACACACCCAGCCCAACCGTGTATCAGAAGTACACCAATGAGTACGAGACAGAGAACCAGAGACACAGACACAGACAGAGATACAGAGACACAGACACAGACAGAGATACAGAGACACAGAGACACAGAGACACAGACAGAGACAGAACATCTGTAAGTTCTCCCACGATCGATAAAAAAAACACTTAGTAAAAAAATATTATTGTCTGGTTCTGCCTGTCTGGTAAGACATGTGAAGCTGTTAGGTATCTTTATTCCGAAACGTTTCGCCTACACAGTAGGCTTCTTCAGTCGAGTACAGAGGAGTCAGCAGAAGAGTAGAGATGTGAAGACGATGTCATCAGTCCATCACCCTTCAAGACGCAGTTTTGAGGTGGTCAGTCCCTCAGCCTGGAGAAGAGTACTGCCCCAAAGTCATTGGTAGAGTTTACCATTATTATATTCACTTCTGCCACTGTCTGCAGCGCTGTAAGCGTCTGTACGCGACTGAGGAAGTCTGCTTTGCAGACGGAACGTTTCGACCATAAAGATACCCAACTGCTGCATGTACGTTTTATTCATGAATTTGTCGGTACTGCTCTTAGTAACTATTTATTTATTTAACGATTTCATTTATTCATCTCTGATGCCTTTCTTCATTATTCATTTGTACTTATTTATTTGGGACCAATAAAACGTTAGTAATGTCCACTTACACTTTACTAACATTTTATTGCGTCTCTCTGTCTTGATATAACTTATTTTCTCTCTCTTTTCCAGGCGCTTTATGATCCCTGCGGGTTTATCGTCTTCCTTATGATATCTCTCGTGAAGAAAGATTGTGCTTGTTTCTTTCTTGATACACTTTAACAACTTGGAGATAGATAAACCACCACAGTGTTGATATCTACTTCCCACAGCCACATAAACCACGACAGTGTTAGTATCCACGATCCACAGCCACGTAAACCACGACAGTGTTAGTATCCACGATCCACAGCCACATAAACCACAACAGTGTAGTAACTACGACCCACAGCCACATAAACCACGACAGTGTTGGTAATTACGACCCACAGCCACATAAACCACAACAGTGTTAGTAACTACGACCCGCAGCCACATAAACCGCGACAGTGTTAGTATGCACGATCCACAGTCACATAAACCACGACAGTGTTAGTATCCACGATCCACAGCCACATAAACCACGACAGTGTTAGTATCCACGATCCACAGCCACATAAACCACAACAGTGTTAGTAACTACGACCCACAGCCACATAAACCACGACAGTGTTGGTAATTACGACCCACAGCCACATAAACCACAACAGTGTTAGTAACTTACGATCCACGTGACCAGCGATAAACCACGACAGTGTTAGTATGCACGATCCACAGCCACATAAACCACGACAGTGTTAGTATGCACGATCCACAGCCACATAAACCTCGACAGTTTTAGTATCTACGACCCACAGCCACATAAACCACGACAATGTCAGCATCACACGACCAACTGCAACATAAAACGCTGGCTATTTAAAAACATTTACTCTGAATAAATTTCTAAAATATGATTTTACCTTCCTAGTTATATTATTCCTGTTGACCTCTTGATAGATGGAATAAAATACCGACACGATGGAAAAAAAAACACAAATGAAGTCTAATGGAATCCTTTATTGACAACGTTTCCCCCATGGGGGAAACGTGTATAATACCTACATGAGTTTCTCGGTATTGTCTCCCATTTCCAACAAATCTGTGAGACACAATTTCACCATATAGATGTCAAGTTCTTTTTAGAAAACCGACAGTATATGCATTTTTGTCTTAAAGAACTGGAAATAAACCTGGTCGAAACGTTCTTACAAGCACTTGACCGTAATGTTCCTTCCAAGGACTATTGACTGGCATCTCTGCTACGATCCAGGGCATATAAAGAGAGAGAGCAAGAGAGAGAGAGAGAGAGAGAAAGAGAGAGAGAGAGAGACGCTAGTGCTCTCTTTACATATACATTGGGCTATATACATTCCTCAAAATATAAACAATGAATTTCGCCAAAGGCAACATAAACTTTCAGACTATGTATAATACCAATACAGAATATTTTGATATTTTTATTTTTTTCTGTTTACTAAAATCATAAATGTTAAATCGAGGACGTTCAACTGAACATCCATTACGTTCTCCATAGTGTAATGGTACTCGCATTATTTTTTTTCCGGAGGGCACTTTTAAAACGTTCTCTTAACTCTGTGTTTGGACACTGAACGAAATGATTTTATCCTGTGTGTGTGTGTGTGTGTGTGTGTGGTGTGTGTGGTGTGTGTGTGGGTGTGTGTGTGTGTGAGTTTTGTGTGTGTGTGTGTGTGTGTGGGGTGTGTGTTGTGTGTGTGTGTGTGTGTGTGTATTGTGTGTGTGGGTTTTGTGTGTGTGTGTGTGTGTGTGTGTGTGTGTTTTGTGTGTGTGTGTGTGTACTCACCTAGTTTTTACTCACCTAGTTGAGGTTGCGGGGGTCGAGCTCCGAGCTCCTGGCCCCGCCTCTTCCTGATCGCTACTGGGTCACTCTCCCTGAGCCGTGAGCTTTATCGTACCTCTGCTTAAAGCTATGTATGACCCTTTGCCTCCACTACATCGCTTCCCAAACTATTCCCTTACTGACTACTCTGTGGCTGAAGAAATACTTCCTAACACCCCTGTGATTCATCTGTGTCTTTAGTTTCCCAAACTGTGTCCCCTTGTTACTGTGTCCATCTCTGGAACATCCTGTTTTTGTCCACCTTGTCAATTCCTCTCAGTATTTTGTATGTCGTTATCATGTCCCCCCTATCTCTCCTGTCTCCAGTGTCGTCAGGTTGATTTCCCTTAACCTCTCCTCGTAGGACATACCTCTTAGCTCTGGGACTAGTCTTGTTTGCAAACCTTTGCACTTTCTCTAGTTTCTTTACGTGCTTGGCTAGGTGTGGGTTCCAAACTGGTGCCGCATACTCCAATATGGGCCTAACGTATACGGTGTACAGGGTCCTGAACGATTCCTTATTAAGATGTCGGAATGCTGTTCTGAGGTTGCTAGGGGGCCCATATGCTGCAGCAGTTATTTGGTTGATGTGCGCTTCAGGAGATGTGCCTGGTGTTTTTACTCACCCAAGATCTTTTTCCTTGAGTGAGGTTTGTAGTCTCTGACCCCCTAGACTGTTAACTCCGTCTGGGGCCCTTTTTTGCCTTCCCCAATCTTCATGACTTTGCACTTGGGGGGATTGAACTCCAGGAGCCAATTGCTGGACCATTTCTGCAGCCTGTCCAGATCCCTTGTAGTTCTGCCTGGTCTTCGATCGAGTGTATTCTTCTCATCACTTCACGTCATCTGCAAACAGGGACACCTCAGAGTCTATTCTTCCGTCATGTCTTTTCACAAACCAGAAACAGCACTGGTCCTAGGACTGACCCCTGCGGGACCCGCTGGTCACAGGTGCCCACTCTGACACCTCGCCACGTACCAGACTCGCTGCTGTCTTCCTGACAAGTATTCCCTGATCATTGTAGGGCCTTCCCGTTATCCCTGCTTGGTCCTCCAGTTTTGCACCAATCTCTTGTGTGAACTGTGTCAAACGCCTTCTTGCAGTCCAAAAGGAAAATGCAATCCACCCACCCCTCTCTCTCTTGTCTTACTGCTGTCACCATGTCATAGAACTCCCAGTAGGTTTGTGACACAGGATTTCCCGTCCCTGAAACCATGCTGGCTGCTGTTGATGAGATCATTCCTTTCTAGGTTTTTCCACCACCTTTCCTGATAATCTTCTCCCATGATTTTGCATACTAACATGTCAGTGACACTGGTCTGTAGTTTAATGCTTCATGTCTGCCCTCCTTTTTAAAGATTGGGACTACATTTGCTGTTTTCCCATGCCTCAGGCAATCTCCCTGTTTCGATAGATGTATTGATATTGTTGTTAGGGGTACACATAGCGCCTCTGCTCCCTCTCTCAATACCCATGGGGAGATGTTATCTGGCCCCATTGCCTTTGAGGTATCTAGCTCACTCAGAAGCCTCT